AGGTTGGCGCGTGATAGCAAAGAAGACTATGATGTCCTGATTTCTGAAGTCAAATACTGAACCGATGCGCTAGAAATAAAGTGATCTATCTTATTCCAAGACCGAAAAACAACTAACAATACGCTTAGGCCGAGAGAGGACGACGAAAACTCCTTCTTATACTGTCGGATGGTCAAGACTCCACGTGCACTGTGCAGAAGCCATCTAAAAGTGAATCGGACATCGCTAAGGAGGTAAAATTACCAGCATTTTGACAATTCCTATCCTCGCATTCGCTTACTGGCCAAATTCAGTCCTCTGCGGTGGCACTCAAGTGTTAGGAAATTGCACATCGATGGTAGATTTTTCTATAGACCCTGCGCACAATTTTAAGACTCGGGCGAATCAATAACATGGCTGGGACCCACCGCACTTCATCATTAATCATCCTTTTTGGACTGCTGTGTCAACTCCCAAATCGGAGGAGGGAAAAATTCACCCATGCACGTTGCGGCGCAGTTTCTCGACGTCACCGCGGCGGCAGGAGGAGCGAAAGGATGGCGTACGCCTCGCCACTGGGCTCCGATTAGTAACCGCTTTTATGTGGAAGGAAATGGAGAGAAAAGAGGATTGAAAAATAGTGGATAATACAGAAAAGTCGAGTATCAGAGCGTATTACTTCAGTCAACGGCGAAACTGGCGAAATAGTTCCTTCGATTGTGAAAACGACGCAAGCAGCTCTTACGCAAACGTTATACCGTTATAAGGTCACAACCAACTGTTGGCAATTTGCCAAACCTCACCTTAAACTTTTCGTAAGAGCTGTTTGCGTCGTTTCCACAATCGAAGGGAACTATTCCGCCAGTTTCGCCATTTACTGAAGTAATTCGCTCGCTTCGCCCTGCCGCCGCGGCGACAGTGCCGCAGCGCGCATGGGTGAGTTTTTCCACGGAGCCATCCTAAATGTGATTCGACTGCAGGGACTACAGCGATACAATGATTAGCAACATGGCACATTCCCCAGTGGTCTCACGACCATCAAATCGCGCGACTGAGTCGCTCAAATCGCGAAGTGTAAACGCAGCCTTACCTCCACTCTCTGACAGCAGCTGGATTCGTTTCAGCGCCGAAAAATTGGGCACAAGTCAAGTCTATTTATGGTTCATAGCACGCTAATAGCTTTATTACAGCTACAAAGTATTGGCGTAATTCCTATTTACTCATCAACCGGAACAGCTGATACAGACAAGTTGAAGGGTATCACCGGAAGTGCAGATCAGGCTATTACGCTTGACTTCAATGTAAGTTGCAAGCTTGATCTAACCTGTATAGCAATTTCGGTCTGTGGAGAGATGAGAATCTCATTTGCTGTTTACAAAACTGAGAGAACACCAAAACCCATAATGCAGGTCATAGAGAAAGCACCAAACATAGGATACGTGTCATCTTGTCCCGAGTAGAATATTATGGGCTCGCAGGTTATTAAGAGCTGCTGTCTTCCCATGTGAGCTCGGTATTATCCTCGACTGCGATGAATTTTTTACTGAATGACTGTGCATGTGCAACCGTTTCCCCTTCCTCTGCTCGCTTGCTAAGAAAGAACTGCTCCCGTCATCGCGCAAACACTGAATGACATACCCCGGAGCTCTCCCTACCCTATAGGTGTGCGCGTCACAGTGTTTCTCATCTTTTTCTCATCCGTGGCGCAAGCCTTCGCGAGTCGTCCACGAGTACAATAACAAGTAATGTTAAGCTGTCAGCGTGATTAATGCATATGACAAAATTCCCTTGCTGGCAGTACACATGACGCTCCACGAGTCATTAAAGCTAACGTTCTCGACACTATTCGTATCACTTTTCTATGAGAAAAGCGGATCATAAAATGCGCACAGTCTCCGCGCTTAACTTATGCGCAGTTTGACGACGGGGGGGGGCATTTGTACTATCATTACTTCCCTAGTTCCGGTTTACAAGTCTCACTCTGGCGAAACCTGTGAACTCTTGTGAAGCTGGAGCAAGCTCATCTAGCCATCATGGTAAAACCTGTCAACTCGAGAAGAGGCTGCTAGATGGGTCGACACGTCGATGGGAAGTAGCGAAAGTGCAAAATCCTACCCCCCCCCCCCCCCCCTCCGTTGTCAAACTGTTCCCTCAACTTATATTGACAGCTTTTTCGTTCAAATTGCAGAAAAAAAATAAAATTTTACAGAAACTGGTTGAATTGCTCAAGAAGTTGTTCAGCTCTGGAGGCATAACAAGTGATGGAAATCGTATTACGACGAAAAACCCAATAGTGACAACAAAAGGCACTGCACCAACAACCGTCAACGCTGTACTTTCATTTTTGCCATTTTCTAGCCTTTTCTGAAAAGCGGCACTGCGACGAGGCAAGGCTCACAGGTGGCTAAACGTTTGTAACTGCCCCAGTACTTTTGACAATACAAGTCAATCTTTCCCATGTGGACAAAACCGCCTCTACGAACAAGCGTGACCGTGAGATAAACAAATACGCTTCTTTGCAGAAGTGCGCTCTTTAGGAAGACTTTGCAAAAAATGTTTGAACCGTGTCCGTCTGCACAAATGGAACGACTTAGACCCTCTGTTCGTTGCGGGAGGGCGGGGGGGGGGCAAATCGTCACTTTGATTGCAGTACGTCACTTCGATTAGAACGGAAATGGGACGATTAGCCCTTCTGGTCGTTCCTCCATTTCGCGAACATACAGTCGCAGCATCTTCAGCACCTTCTGAGGAACGGCTGCGCAGTTTGACACCACGAAACTCTTCTGATCGCAGAGTGAGATCGCCATAGCTGACTTGTTGATGAATGTCGTATACTGGTGACCCTTTTTCCATCCCATCTCTACCCCTTCCCAGTGAACAACATGTCCCGGGGGACGTCATGGCGAATCAGAGGTCAAGGACTTAAGGAGGTGGTGTTGTTGCAATTTCGTGTTGCAATGTAGGCAGCGTCGGAGGGAGGTCGTGTCTGACGATCAAATTTATCTATCGCCATTACGTGCTTCCCTGTCTGCTCACTATTTAAGGTTGGCATAACTATTCGCGGCCTTGGCTCTGGAAGTGATGTGTCAGCGGTGATACTTATAGACTTTACGACATCAAGCCAGAAAAAATGGGACGTGGTACGTTGTTTTGGTCCTAACACTTTTCTTTCAGCTTTACCTACGTTCCTGAATCAGCAGAGCCATTTATGGAACAGCGCGCGGGTATCATTTACAAATTGTGGTTCTTCTGAATCTCAGCGTAGTGACGCCTCCATCGTACATTCGCCATGATCAATGAGCCACTTCGCAATATCGTTTATATTGTGGAGAATCCTATTAGCTCTACTCCCTGTTGTTTTTTTTTCTCAAGCCATTCTCCCTGTGTTCCGAAGGAAGACGGCCAACAAACTTCGATCTGTGCGAAGGCCACGGCTCTGGCACGACGAGCGGCCTGCGCCTCTGCAATCGTGCTCCTCCTTTACCATTTAGAACATAGATCCCTCTATCTACGAAGAGAAACTACGGATTCCCAATACTGAACAAACAACAAAAAAAACAGTGCCGGCTCGAGGAAAGCAAAATGAGCCAGAGTGCATCATCTGTTGGGGACGTTTTTTCTGATATTATTATTTCTTCGCCTTTTCATTCACACTTTTCCGAAACATACGTAGGAGACGTAACATACGTAGGAAAACTGATGCTAAACTAAGGCAGCGTTCAGACTTCGCGACGGCAGCTTCGGTCGCGCGTTCGACGCGATCGATGCAGTCGAAAGCATGCGCATCGATCGCGCCGAACGCGCGACCGAGGCGCTGCCGTCGCGAAGTCTGAACGCTGCCTAAGAATCGCTCCGTGGCTTATAGCCCTTCCACCACGGATGCCATACCAAAGAAGCGTGTATGGATGACACCTGGAACAATTAATAGGTTCACAGGAGGAGCTTCCGGAAAAACTGATCCCTTTATTCAAAGGAAGAGTTCGACCTATGGTTAGATGAAACACTCCGGTGTTCGAATACATGTGTTAGTTTAGCTTCCACGAGGATTCACTATGTAGTGCG